GCAAAATAAGAGAAAAATGACACTTACGTATTAAATTTTGAAACATATTAGAACGTGATAACCGACAGCAAGACTAAAACAAACCACAACGCTTGGTACATTTTCTATTTTGTTCACCATTGTACTCTAACGCTCAACGATTTGCAGCCCGGTCCCCAGTTAACCTCGTGTAAAGCGAGCGGTTGGATTGGGATGGATGGGGTATGCCAAATGGAGGTATCAGCCGGCCGCCGCGCGGCTCAAGGATAAAGTGCGTCCACCGTCTCGGTGCTAAATAAGATGCTAACGAGCACCGGCCTCACCCACCGGCCCCGCCCAGTGTGACGGCATACCATGTCCAACATTACAAAAACAGTCGTCCCCCGCCATGCAGGGACATACCTACGCAGTACACTACATACACTAAGTGCTCATGCGCCTCTGGCTTGGCCAACTAACCACTATACATATGCTGCAAATAACTGCTGGAACGATAACTTATGACCAGTGGGTTTTCTGTATGAAGAGACATTATAATCTCACAGTGACTTCATGCCGTTCGTAACACTGATAAATGTGCGCCTACGTAACGCTTGGAGCCTTAGAACAGCCCGCAGCTATGTTTTGAGAACCGGCTTATGTTCCGGCGTCGCCTGCAGCAGAGCTGTTACAAACAGCACCCGGCGCCGGACGCCGACCCGGTCTGTATCCGTCTCCCGCCGCGTAAAGCTAACAGCTCCTGGTGACACCCGATCACCAGACGCCGGGCACCAGCTGGCTGTTTATGGTGAGGTGCACGCCATTTCCGTAACGAGTGCACCACCAGCTGCACCGCACCACGTGCATCCGCCACAGGTTCGGCGAAAAATGCGGCGCTGGTGACCACCAACACAAACATTGGGAGATCGCGGAGAGGCGGCGGTGCAGAGCGAAACGCATAATGAGAGTAAAAGTGAGAGCTCTTGTCTAAAGTGGACGCCGGACGGTTTAGCTGTCAATTCACCTGGCGTAGCCATGCCATGGTGAAAGGCTTAATTTTAAACGACATCATATTCGCTTTGCTGATTATTCATAGCCATTGCAACGGGATTGGCAAGGACATATATGTCTTGCCACATACACCGTCTATAGACAGTGCAACGTGTTTGCATGGAGGAACGACCGGTCTGATGTCACCGCGTCCTCATTTGTCCCATGTGAGTCACAGGTCCCAAACCCGATTAGTTCAAATAGATGCCTTTAGATTATCTGAGTATGTGAGCCGTAATAATGTGGTGCATGAGCCCTAAAAGGAGAAAAAATACATGGAAACCAGATCATCTTATCGCTATAACTGAAACCAAATAAATAGAACAAAAAGCCCCCTAATTCGGGAACTTACATGCACCGTTATTCTGTAAGAAGACTGAACGCTGATAAACTCCATAATTCAGTCACTTCTCAGTCCCCCCCCCCCCGGTTTGTGATAATTATCAATGAAACATATTCAATTAAATGTAGGTACTTTTGCGCAGTCAATCAAAACTGACTAATCGATTTATTATGTTAATGAAAAATGGCCAACTCAAATAAAATAAGTTCCACAATCGATTGTGATCAAAGTGAACTACGGAATCCAGCAGGGGCCCAGCATTCCAATACTCGCCATCCCTTTCCCCGGAGCTGCAGGGACGTACGCGGCGCGTGTGACTGGCGCCATTCGTCTGTGCAGAGCCGCACGCGAGTGCCGGGAAGTTGTCCAGAGTGGCAATTCCCTCAGTGAACGTCCCGTTGGGTCGAACAAACAGTCCAGAACATGGCATCGCCGGCGATCGGACGACCTTCGGCTCACACCCGGGTGGCCATCGTCGCATGGCTCTGTGTTAGAGACCGTACAGAGTGCACTGTGCATTGTGCAATCCGTGCCTTCGCGGACTCGAGCGCTGAATGCAGCGCCAGAGACTGGACGAACTGACCCGGTCGATCCCAACAGACAAGATCGGAGACGTGGGTGCGGTGCATGGCGCGGCATTGCTGCCAAGGTTGCCGGATGCTCATGCATGCAAGCACGATTGTAGGACCTCATTGCATGAGTGGACGGGGACAGCGTGGAGCAGCTAGCAGAGACAGAACAAGAAATACGGGCAGTGAGTACTGAGACAGAGCTGCATGCAAGGATGAAGCAGGGGTATCGGCAGACACATACAACAGAGTTGCGGCGATTAGCTCGGGACAGAGCGGTGACGGAGAGACGCATATGCATACGTACAGCGTCACAAACGGCACATCACCCACCTTCCTGCTCCTCTGCTGACCCAGAGTGAGCGGGAAAATCTGCGGACACACAACCAGTCAACAATCTGAGGCGGTCGGTCTAAACGCCACATCCACCGTCCATCATTCATCAGATGCCCAACAAAGTCATCCTCCATGAAAAGACAGACTATGTATCGTCATAGAATCCCTCCATCGTCCCCACAGAACCTCGTAATACGTAAAACTTAGCGACCATACGGTTAGCAAATTTAGATGACAGCCGTGATATCTACACAGACAATAGTTACTCCCAGAGCAATGTGTGCTATAAATGTCAGCTTCATTCAGCTGCACAATTGTCCACAATGAGAAATAGGCAGCACGACCGACGAGCAAACAGAGGCAAACAAGAGCCACCAAGGTCACCAGACTGTCGGCTGCTACATTCTAGGCCACCACCAACACCAACACCAAAACATCAGCACCAGCCGTCACCAACCAGCACCTCACAATCAGTGGTCGTGAATTTCGTACACCATACATTCCGTACATCACGTATACCGTACATTCCGTGAAGATCAGGCCCCAATTGTTACAACTCGGCCCATGGCCATGGGTTCGGTGAGACGGCTGCCACCCCGGCGGTCACCATATCACGGCAGATACGGTCACCATCGGATAACGACCAATCCCGAGTAACGACCTTGCCGGCCGTAACGACGGGGCGCCGTGACCGCCGCCGGCCGGGTTACGACAGCCCTCAGGTCACCGGGAAGGAGAGGAGGGAGAGGGGGAGAGGAGGGAGGGGAGGGGAGGGGAGAGGAGGGAGGGGAGAGAGGGAGAGGAGGAGGAAGGGGAGAGGAGGCACCGACCAAAGACCTGACACAGAGGAAAGTGACATCGGAGCCGCTCCGCTCCGATCCGCTCCAGCGGTGAAGAAAACGACGCCAGCTGCACCCACAACAAACGACGCGAGACGGGAGAGTATCCCAATCTCAAACCGCTTTCCGCCAGACATACACGACTGCGGCAAACCCCGTGACTACCTTAATAGCTGGTGGTTCCATAACGGAGTAACTCGGTTACAGGCATCAGTATAATCGCTTCCTGTGCCAATGACCGCCGCCACAGTCCAGGCCCTAATGTTTTCCACGAAAATCTGTTGAGTCCGTGCATGGTCATCAAGAATGCTATCGCTAGCCAATCGGCCTAAAATTTATCCATATCACAGATAGCAGGTAATCACACACCTTACGAGTTACGAGTTCGTGTCACCGTATTCCCATATGAGCCGTTCAGCGAGTAGCCAGAGTACGCCTGGTGCTTCGTGGACCCGCCAACGAGGGCGTGGTCGAACCGAGAGGGTCGGCTGGCCTTCCGGCAAGTGTCGTGTCGAGGCTGGCATCGCTGACCATCAGCCTGGGCAGCATGTGGCCAGCCCCAGTCACGGGCGACACTTGCAGGGGGAGCTGGGGGGGGGAGTGGATGGTCTCACCCCCGAACTCTATCATGCAGTAGTCGCCAGCTTGCAATCCAGAGCAAAGTGCGTACTTGGCTTATTATTGACCTAGCGGCAACTCCAACCGCGAAGACAATTATACTATCTAGCCTCTAAGCCTCATAATAGCGCTTAATGGTCCCCATTCACTATTCAACATGCATGCATTACCTATCAGCGTATTTCTTCGCTCTTCGTGGCGGGGTCTCCCGTCCTTGAGAATGACACGTGGGGCGCGGCTGGGCGTGGTCCGCCGCCGGAGAATCATGTGGGAACGGTCTCACTGCCAGCCAAAAACAAACTGAGAGGCTAGATGCAAAGGTCACCATCAGAGGATGGGGTGGGTGCAAAGACAGTATGTTGATATAAGGAACTACAGACTACAAAGGCCTACGCAATCGGTCGGATATCTAAGCAAAATCATACTTTTGAGCTGTGCAATGTTTTAATGGCAATGGCAAGGTGGTTGGATCTCGGGGTGATCGGTTATTCACTTAGCACATTATGCATACACGCACGATTGAGGAGGATTCGATGATCGACTGGTGGTGTATTCCGAGCCGTGGGCTCCGTTGCCGCCGATCAAACATTGTTGCAGCGGCACAGACACACCATATCAGTTCGGCTACAAGAGCAGTCCATCTCCACGGTCATGACTTTATGACCATCGGATGTGGACAGACATGAATAAAATATGGAACCGGCGGCGGCTAACCGCCACCAAAGAGATTCCATTCAATATACAGATGTCGGTCCGGATTTGGGCAGAAGCCAGAACTCTGTTGGTTTAGTGACTGGCATGCATGAACAATCATATGACATTTCTGTTTTTTTTTTTTTAAGAGAAGTCTTGAATGAATTTGATGAGGATCAAAATATCATTTCAGATGGAAAAGATGTGAACTGTGTGCCCAATGACTTTGTCTGTTTGCTATGCGGAAGAAATCGCGACATCAACATGACGAGTTGTGGGTAATGATGTTGCCTGAATATCTGATATAGATGGGTGAGGCCTGGGGGTTTGGGATAAAATCATGAACATGACAGGCCAAAATGTCTGGAAACTAGGATATTTATTAGACAGCATTCTACAATGGTTTAGAAGAGCTGATGCACCTTAATGCATGGGTATGGACAACTTATTTCAAATTCATGGGAATAGAGTTGCTTCTCGAGTGTGGAATCAGACCGTGAGTTATACATGACTTCCGCGGGCAAGATGCACGGGGCTGGACCGGCACTCTGAGTGCCGCTCGGACACTCGGAGAGTGCCACCCCGGTCACTCACCGCCATCTCCTCGCTGCGGTAGGCGGTGAGTGTCTGCTCGTCCTGCAGCAACACGCAGAAGTAGGGCTCCCAGCCGAGCAGCGGCACTCCGTCCCGGCGCACCTTCTGACTGCCCTGGTGACCCAGGTGTACCGACCGGTCTGGAACGAAACAACGCGCAACGGTCAGGGCAGGGCAGGGCAGGGTAGGGCGGGGCAGAGCAGGGTAGGGCAGGGCAGGGCAGGGCAGGGTAGGCTAGGTCTGTCTTGCCGTGGAATAATTATTATTCGTTGTGTTGCGCTTTCAGAAACTCAGACTGCATTGGAAGAATAACCAAGACAAACTACAGATCCCGGTGCATTCGCTGCACTTGCTAGTCTTACGTTCACATCATACTTCGATGTACGAGATAAATAACTTCATTTCGGGTCAGGTCGGGTCATAACGGATTCAATTGATCGGGGAGGGATGCATTGCATACACGACACGTAGATACAAGCGGTCATGAAATCATTGGCCGATGGGTCACACGGTCTGATGTTTTTGGCACCTTTGACCGACGCGAACAACTCCGCCGTCACATTATAAACACATTAAACCCTGATTAACTGCTGGGAAAACATGAGCGAAGTGGTTAACTCATCGAGAGTGCAGATTTCCAATAACGCTGAACATGAAAATGGTTGCACAAGAATATCGAATGGAGAGGGATTGGGGATAATAAAGTTGCAAGAACTCAATGCAGCACGTACATCCAGCAATAACACCGAAATATGGCCTAACCAGACATCACCGCTATAATATTGAAGCCGCTCATCTCTACAGCTATCGAATGTGCATTTTAATCAAACCATTGCTGCTGGAATCGATCAGACAACCCAATAGCTATTTCTACATATAGTTAGATCACGCATGGATCCTAATGACGGATACCTCTTAATCCCACATCTCATTTAGTTCACTTTACAATATTTCACTGCCGTCGGCGTCATTCAGCTCCAGCGCCCGCGCTAACTACACATTGGTCCCCAAGGTGAGCTCCGCAGGCAGCCGCACCTGTGTGCGCCTATCGACTGCCGCCGGTCATCCATCTCCCCGCGCCGGCTAACACATCAATCAGAGAACAAAGCCGCCGGTCGACCCGCCCAGGGAGGCCTCGTTAGCAGACCAGCCGTCACGTGTCAAAATAAGCACCGGACTCGTTACGTGGGCAAATCAAACACCAGACCTGAGGTTAAGGTGAAATATGATAGCAAAGCAGTACATTAATGATTTGCTATTTAAACATTTGATGTCCCTACTGTCATTAATCGACCATACCAAACGAATTATAGGTAGGTTTCAGCACCTACAAATGTGGTGCCTCCTATAACTTGTTGAATCGGAATTATGGTCGAGCGGTTAATAGTGTTGATTGGGTGTTTACAAGTATTCGACGAAAGCTTCTGATAGAACAAGAGGAAGGATCGGTGCGGATTATGAAGGTCCCAATATCCAATGCATCGAGAAAGCCGTAGACCGTCTCGACCGTCTCGCAATTCAACAGATGCGATGGTGGCGACACCTACACAAAGAGCCTGCACTAGACGTTTCTGCTTTTACCGTCACTGTGAGACTGCAGCTTTGGGAATGAAGATTGAAGATATAGCGAAGAACCATGGCACCCTGCCTTAGTAACGTTAACTATTCAATGAAATTAACGTTGCAGATATTATTTTGGTGTTTTTCCATAATCGATACATACTCGTCAACTATTTTAGTCATCAAGCAAATAGGGTTCTTAGTTCACATTGACGGCCGAACTCCAGTCTATTGACCATGTCCTGAATGGCTGAATCTATGACCAGTCTGTGTGTCATTTTCTCGATAATCAGACCATGATACTAGAGCTCGTTAATCATTTCCTTAAGATCACACGTGCATAGAATTAGATAGCTAGCTAAACAGCTAACAAATATCTCAGCGCATGGCACCGGGACCGACAGACGACGGGGGTATGACACACAGCGCCACCTATGGCAGTATGTTTGTGACTAGTTTCCCTCCAGCGCCACACGGCCGAGACTGCAACTATCGAACAGCAGAGTATCCAGAGACTGCAACTACCAGCCGGTGGTTATCCGGAGACTTCAGTTGCACGGGAGCCAACAAAAGAGTATCTCGACACCGGCGTTTACACGCGTTATGAAAATAATTTTATGACCATTCCGTGAATTAGGCGATGCGCAGATCGTTGAAACTGATTTTGATGGATTTTCCATTACAGCATGCGGGTATAGGTAGAAGTTTCACTTGTAGGTAACTTCTTACCCATAAAGAACATAAAAAGGTAGTCATGCAAAATGTGGACGTAGGTGATTCGTATCGTTGAGCCTGGGTGTGTAACAAATGGGAAAACTTGTTCATCCATCCTTGCCATCATCGGGACCATTCTCCATTCTTGTCATTATTACACTTCCCTGCTGCAGGCTGACGGTCAACCCAGCAGTCATCTAGGTCAGATTCAATAGGAGCAAGTCCCTCCGGAGTAATTGTTGAGCATTCGGGTGAAGTGTCTCATCAGGCCCGCCATTCCCAACGGGATGAGCCCACGCTATGCACCAGGCAGTGGTCGGACTGCAGCAAAAGCCTCCCTTCAAGGTACATGCATTTTTACTACCTAATACATCAACATTGCAAATCAGAATTGCCTTTCTGACAATCCAAGAAATCTAACTCTTCAATGTCAATTCTGCTGGTTTTAGAGCCAGTACCAGAATCACGATTTAAATGACAACTGAAAAGCCTCACAGAACTTCCTAACTGTCTCGGCATCGTCAAATCCGAGAAAGCGCATAAAACTACGCCCTCTCATGTCAATGCAATGTTCGGCGAAACTGCAGGTAGGTACCATAAGCGGCATGGATGTGCGAATGCTGACAGACAGCGAACCATCACGTCACGTGAAGGCCCGTCACGAGCTTCAGCGTCCATTACCCGGGAATGCTCTTGTCGGAGGCAGTGATTCCGATCACTCAGTTTCTACGAATGCCCAAATGAGTTTTTTTTAAGCACGAAAAGGCGACGATATTCGGCATCCTACATATATCTGCATACAGCTCTCAAGCGTGGGTAGTTGCATAACTACTCACATCACCAGAAAATCTGACATCATTGGCTCTCCAACGTCATCTGACGCTCCATGACCAAGACCCTCACCAGTCCGTCTGTGATCGTGACCAGCCGATATCTCTGCGCGCCTGTCATCCCGCTTGCGTTGGACGGGCCACATTTGCTTATCGAATAGAGCGCACGGCACATCAGCCGCCTACCTGTCGCAGATTTCTGCGGAATTGACTCGGTCATAATATTCGCAGAGCGGGATGAGGTCGATTTCGGAGCAGTGGTGGCGACGGAATGCTCTACGGACAGATGGGACAAGACTTCGCAGTCCCTCGCGTCGCGACTGTCAAGGCCAAATCGAACTGCGCTCGCGCGTGTAAGGCAGGTCGAAGGCAAGTGAAGGGGGCAGTGTGCTGTGACTTAGGTGAATTTTGCCAGTCACTGGTTTTAGTGATTTCTACAAGGGTTCCATTCTGCTCTCATCCCACACCTGTTTGATGGTCGATAGACGGGCATTGTCTGAGATGGAGTGGAGCAATGCCGATCATCAGAACAGTTGGTAATCTACGGCGGCTCCCGATTACGTTGTATGTTTTTGAATGCCAGCGGTTTAAAGAACAGATTTTAAATAGTGGTTGTGAAAGTTACGGTTGATCGCAGGCCGGTAAATGATTCTGAGCATCTCATGACATACAGAGCGATAAGCACGTACTGGTGGTGTGTTTGAAATGTTCGCCGCTCCTTCATCGCCTATCGCCATGAATGGGGGCGACATAAAGCTAGGTTGGGACACGCTTAACGAATCATTTCGCCACAATCCACAAGCGGCCACCGCTTGAAGCTTGTCTAGAAATTATCCCGCGCCGCGCTGTCATCACGGTGACATAGCCACCGATCAATTCAGCGCTATGTATGGAGTACGTCAGGCTGCAGCAAAACGAGCTGTAGAAGAGACCACAAACGGCTACACGGGCTATAAGGGTAACGGCTTAATCAAGCCCTCGCAGCGCTCCAACGTTGCCACTGCTCCGCAAAAGGCTGAAAATGGTTCACAAACGGCCGACCCCCGCCACAGACCATTATCTGAGCACGCTGTTCCCAAACGCAGTTCTCATCCTGGAGCGCCTCAGATGCACACAGTTCCATTCACGTGACCTTGGGTGCACCACAGACCTTCGGGTACCCTCTCTAGCTCCGGCTATACCGTCGACCAGACCCAGCCGTCCGAGGCCGAACTGCTCGATAGCAACCTCTTCAAACACCGCCTCCCAAAACTGGCCTGGTCGTCTGATGATCGTAACAGTCATCTGCTTCTCAACAGCTTCCTCACAGCGCACCGACTCAGCACATCGCATATTCAAACATCAGCTCCGGCGTCGTCTCTATTTAGCGCCCGGCGCCCCACACTGGGCCGGGGGTCCGGAAAAGTGCTAGAAATTATTTGTGATTGAGTTGTTGATCTCAGTGACAAGCAAACATGCTAAAAATGAAGTGGGGCTGCTTAACCCTCGCCGGACCTATTGTGGGACCCCCCACCCCCTCGGCCGGCCGAGGGGGGGAGGGTTGGTACGACCCCTTTTTGCCGTTTCGCCCCTAATGGAGCTAGAGCCTCGCGGAAAAAACAAGCGTGTGCGCCGTTTCAAGGCGGAACGATTGATACCCGATTTTAAGGTCCCAGGTCAACCGGTAACCTCTGAGGTGAAGTCAAAAAGCCCAAGGTAGGGTTTGAATTTTGGCAAATAATTTCGCAAAAAAATGGCCGCAGAGCAGCGATTTTGGCACCATCGTGTTCGCCTGGCTCAGGCGCGTCGAATGGTATACTTTTTGCTCGGGTGAGGTCAGCTTAAGGTATTGACCTCGAGTCAAGGTCAGTTCAGAGCCCATCAGGCCACGAACTTAATCGAAGGAGGTCGTATCGCATATCATTCGATTCGGGAGGTCTTCCCGAGTCCGTTGGTGGCTTTCCCGAGTCGCTGGCTCAATTTGATCATGAGTTATTGACGAGAAACTCCTATGACCGGTGTGACGTCATAAATGACGTCACGGAAGGTCAAAAATG